TCATCCACTGGGCTCACTCATCTGTGCTTTCGTGCCATCCGGGGGTAACAAGGACAATGTTCAGGATACAACAACGTTTCTGGTGGCCAGCCATGAAGAAAGATGTGGCAGAGTACGTAGCGGCTTGTCCGGTGTGTGCGTGTAATAAGACCTCATCACAAGTCAAGATGGGCTTGCTCCAGCCCCTGCCGATTCCCCAACGTCCTTGGTCACACATTTCAATGGATTTTGTGACAGGATTTCCTTCATCCAGAGGCAAGACTACGGTCCTAACAGTGGTGGATCGATTTTCAAAGATGGCTCACTTCATCCCATTGACCAAGCTTCCCTCTGCCAAAGTCACCGCAGAGGTCATGATGAATCACATATTCAGGATCCATGGATTCCCTGATGACATTGTTTCCGACAGGGGTCCACAATTCATTTCCGTTTTCTGGAAGGAGTTTTGTCGACTCATAGGTGCCACCGTCAGCTTGTCATCAGGATATCATCCTCAGTCAAATGGACAGTCGGAGCGTCTGAACCAGGAACTAGAGACTACGCTACGTTGTCTCGTCTCCCGGAACCAGACTACCTGGAGTGACCACCTCACATGGGTCGAGTTTGCCCACAATACTCTTCCTACGGCAGCCACAGGTCTCTCTCCATTCCATTGTGTCAATGGTTTCCAGCCTCCATTTTTCCCTAACAACGAGGAAGAGGTGAGGGTTCCATCGGCTCATGCCATGATCAGACGTTGTCGACGAGTTTGGGCTGGTGCTCGCCAGGCTCTTCTCCGAAGTTCAGCTCGGATGAAGGCTGTTGCAGACGTCCATCGCAGGGTCGCTCCCTCCTACAGACCAGGCCAAAATGTTTGGCTTTCCACTAAGGACTTACCACTCCATGTCGCCTCAAAGAAACTGGCTCCGAGATTTGTGGGTCCTTTCCCGGTGTCCAGAGTCATCAACCCGGTGTCTGTACGCTTGCAACTCCCCAGAACTATGAGAGTACATCCGACGTTTCACGTCAGTAAAATCAAGCCGGTGTGCGAGAGCACACTTGTTCCCGCCTCCAAGCCCCCTCCACCGCCCGAGTTCTTTGAAGGGGGTGAGGTTTACAAGGTCCGTAAGCTACTGGAGGTCCGTAATAGGGGGAGGGGGAAGCAATTCCTGGTAGACTGGAAGGGTTACGGTCCTGAGGCTAGAAGCTGGGTAGCTGCGTCATTTATCGTAGACAAGACGCTTATCCACGATTTTTACAATCAGCCTGGGCCATCAGGAGTTGGCCCTAGAGGGGGGGGTACTGTTGTGCACCGACAGAAATGCTAGAGAGATGCATGTTATTTACGTTTGCTTTCTCTCATTCCAGGCTTCCTGATTATTTTCACCTGTGTCCCCTGTGCTCATCAATGTCAGCCCCGCCCCTGATTGGTCCCACCTGTGTCTAGTTACCCTGTGCTTATATTCCCCTGTCTCCCAAGTGTTCTTTGTCAGTTCGTATTGTCTCTTGCTATGGTCAGGTCTATGCTCTTTGTACTCTTGTAAAGTTTGATTCCTCACTACGTGAGCGCTTTCATTTTGTTCCTCTATTTTTGTCATCTCGGTTAGAGATTTGATAGTTACCTTTTTTGTTGTTCATTGCTGTATTTTGGAAAATAAAGTATCTTACCTCTTACCTTACTTTACCTCTGTCTCCCGGGTCGTGCAATTGGGTCCTACATCCTAAGTGTCTGAGTTCGTAACAAGCTATCCATTCCAGGCCAGACTCTAAAGACTTTCCAAGGTGTGAAAATGCTGCTGCCGGAGTACTGACTGGAAGTATTGCTGATATCATGTCTACCATCCTCTTAAAATACTCTGTCCAACAATATCAGTCTCAGGAAGAAATGTTTTTTAACGCTTATTAAAAGAAAAACATGCATTCTTGTACTCAGGAGGGGACATTGACAGAGGATTACTGGAAAAGTACACAATAAGTACTTCATAGTACTTGTGGGGGTAGTTTCAGTAGTACTGAGTCCAACAGGATCAATCTCACGAAGAACTAATGGCAACAAAAAAGAATTCCCTCATCAAACTTAGCAGAAGTGGCTTGATTTTGTTCACAGGAGGGGCCTTTGACAGAGTATTTCTCAAAAAATACACAGTAAAAGTACTTCAATGTATTGTTAGTAGTAGGCTTACTAATACAAAGTCAAACCGTATCAATTTCATTAAGAACTAATGGTAACATTTTATTTTTATCATTCATCAAAGATAGCAAAAAACATGCATTATGTACTATGGAGGGGACTCTGACAGAGGATTACTCACAAAGTACACAGTAAAGTACTTCATTTTATTTCTGGTTGCAGTCAACTAGTACCAAGTCCAACAGTGTCAGTTTTATTAAGAACTTGTGGTAAAAAATATTTGTATCACTCATTGAATATAGCAGGAATAAAAATGAAAAGCAGCTGATTGACCGAGTGCAGAATCGCTGTATACAGGGGCGGACTGGGACAACAAATCAGCCCGGGACTCTCGACCGGCCCACTTCGGTCCCGCCGGCCCACCTCGGTACCGCAAGTAAGCGGCCCACCTCGGTGGTGCCGCAAGTAAATACCGCGAGGAAATTGTCGACGGGGGGTAAGGGGGGGTGAGCAGTGACTTATCCGACCGGCCCACTTCAGTACCGGCCCATCGGGATTCGTCCCGAACGTCCCCTGGCTGTATATATAGTTTAAATCTCTTTAGTTACAATGTTGTCCATTTTAGACAAAGGCTTATTATATTTACAGCCCCTAATAACATTTATTTTCTGGGCTCAATATGTGTCTTGGCTGTTTTCGTTGTGATCGCTAAATTCACCTTGTTTATAATATTATCACTATAACACCTGTCATCAGACTGGCAAGAGCTGTTCCATGCTCTGCTCAACCTCCCGTCTTCCCAATGGACTCAGTAGCGCCCCCTGCTGCCGTGTAGCATGTGTGAGTGAGCATGTGTGAGTGTGTATGAGCCAGCCACGGCGGAATATTACTGCCAAAAGTCTCAGTCACGTGACTTTTGGCAGTAATATTCCGCCGTGAGAAGAAAAAGTTTTGTACTTGTAAAAAAAAGTTTTGTAGTTGTAAAACAAAGTGTTGTAGTTGTAAAACAAATTTGTGTACTTGTAAAAAAAAGTTTTGTAGTTGTAAAACAAAGTGTTGTAGTTGTAAAACAAATTTGTGCACTTGTAAAAAAAAGTTGTGTACTTGTAAAACCTAAGCTGAATTTGTCTCTGAAACATGATTTATTAGAATAATGTTATGTGTTTGTTTGATAGATACGTTTTTTCTTTGCAAAACTAAATTCATTAGTTTGTAGATGGTGTTTTGTATTTGCAAACCACATTGTGTTTGTTAGTGAATCATAAGGCATTTGTAAAACCTGTTTAGTTTGTTTGTGGAGTTATGGCAGGAAATTAGCTCCATACGTGCGCGTGTACATTGAGGCGTGCGTGTTCACGTGTGTGCGTACAGCCGGTTTACTCCTGCCCGAGAAGCTGTATCTGAACGATCTGAACCGTTATATACAGGTGTGCACATAACTTTTTGAGTGAGTTACTCAGATGAGTACCAGGAGACAGCGTTTGGTACTCACCCCACATGAAGCGTGGTGTTAATAAGTGCAGTCTTCCTCACTGTCCTCCTCAGTGTCTCCTTCACTGTCCTCTATTTACACTTCTTGCATGCTAGATGATGAAGATGATGAAGATGCACCTCCCTGTCTCTTTGTAAGCCTCCGATTTGCTTTCTCCAAAACTTGTTGCCAAAACTGTGAAGTCCTTGCATTTCCTGAGGCCAAGTTGAAGGATCAAATACTAAGAAATTATCACATGACTTGAAGTCATATCTGATTTCAGAGGTGGGAAGTAACAAAGTACACTTATTCAAGTACTGTACTTAGGTACAATTTAAGATACTTGTAGTTTACTTGAGTATTTCTATTTTATGCTACTTTGTACTTCTACTCCACTACAGTTCAGAGGTAAATCATGTACTTTTCTTCCACTACATTTATTTAATACCTTTAGTTACTTTACAGATGTGGATGAATGATGTGAAAATATAATCAAGTGTTAACTCAGACTTTAGTTCCACCTGGAGTAAATCCACAAGCTACCCTGCAGTATACAAAGTCATTCAAACTCATTTTTAAACACTTTAATGATCAATAATTATAAAACATATCATATACATTATTATGAAATGGACCAATCTGCAAAATGACTACTTTTACTGTCGCTACTTTAACTAGATTTTGATGATAATACTTTTCTAATTTTACTTGAGTAACACTTCTTCCACCTCTGTCTGATTTCAAACTCTTCCATTAACAGCCTGAGTAAGTTTGCAGCTGTGTGTTTTACTCCACTTTGTTGTAAATAAAACTGCAGCAGCTTGACCACAGAGCGTGAACGTTGTGATCAGCTGATTTTGCGCAGTTCTCCAGTGTGTGCGCGGGGCACAGAATGTGCACAGGGGAGTCTCCCACCGCAGCCAGTTGACGTAGTTTTGGTACAATTCTGTTGTACACACCGACGTTAACAGCAGCTCCGTCTGTGCACACGGCGACCAACTCTGTCGTCCAGTGATCTAAGCCTCTGCCTCCTGTGAAGCTTCACAGGTCCGTCGGTTATGTCCTGCGCGGCACGGCCAGCACCCAGTTCAATCAGTCATAGAAAGTCTGAAGATTTTAGCAGGTCTCCCTTGTAAAAGAGATCGTTGATCTCAATGGGATTTTTAACCTGGATAAATAAAGGCTACAAACAAACAAACAAACAAGGGAGCGAAACGGCAAAGTGGCTGCTTAATGTCTTTGTTTTTTTTGGACATGTCTAATCATTTACTCCACTGAGTATTGACAAGAAACATGTGTAGGCGAAATATGTGTTTTGTTTTGATGACCTATCAGGTACGCAAAGGCGCGTTGTGACACAAGTGACGTTACGCATTTCAGATTGTTGCCGCGCATGCGTACCTGCGTACCAGTTATGTGCACCCCTGGTTATATATACAGACAGTCTATGATCTGAACCCCGCGCACAGAGCTCACGCCTCAGTTGGAAACATCAGGATGTCTGCAGAGCGAGTGGAGAAGAAGAAGACGCTCGACCTGAGGAAGAAGCATATCGGGTAAACTTCCTGCAGTTAGCTACTCTATGAAGTTTAGGTTATAAGTTATTAAGTTGTACTACGTTTTACGGGAAGTTTTTAAAGTGTGTTCCTAACCCTAAAAGGCGCTGCAGGAATTGTTGGTGCATTTTCGAACTGCAATGTAGCTTTTCACAATTGTTTCTTCACATATTATATGTTTGTATCGGCTTTTTTTCGTGTGTGTGTGTGTGTATGTGTTAGAGAATATCAAACTGTAGAACATTGTAAGGCTTTTTTGAATATATGTGAATGGAAGAATAGACATAAGAGAAAAAGAAAATGTGTTTATCAGCAAAACACATTTTCGAGATGTGAGCATGTTATAGATAATATTGTTTAGGTAAATGAAAACAAGCTCAACCCAGGGGTGTGAAAGGTACTCTTTACACGTATGAAATATTAATACCAGCTCCTCTGCAGGCCGTCCTGTAAGATTTTCTTCAGCCATGACCCCATCAAAATCATTCGAGCCAAAGGCCAGTACATGTATGATGAAAAAGGACAGCAGTACTTGGACTGCATCAACAACGTGGCTCATGGTAATCACACACTGGCAAACACACAAACATTTCAGATCTAATTTTTTAACACCTATGTGTCATATTTTCCAAGGAAAGCTGCAGAACAAAAGAAGATATTGTGGACAGAGAGGACATTTGATATTAGATTTTTGCAATCAAAGCTTAAAGTATTTCATTTACTTGAATGACTTGACCAACTAGACTGTTCCACAAAGTGGATATGATATAACTTGACCAACTGGACTGTTCCACAAAGGCGCTATGATCTAACTTGCATGCAGAGACATAAATATATCCATGTCTCCTGGCCTCCCACTTGAATCCCCACTCTTTAATTTCAGCATATAGCCTCCAATTATGTGCCAGTTGTCGTGGTGTGTTTTGACCTCAAATTACAGTTGCAGGTTTTAATGAGAAAAGCGTATTTCTGTACTGGATTGGTTTTAATTCTCTGTGCATCATTTCTTCCATCTCTCAGTGGGCCACTGCCACCCGGATGTGGTGAAGGCAGGAGCTCAGCAGATGGAAATACTCAACACCAACTCACGATTCTTGCACGACAACCTGGTCCTGTACGCCCAGAGGCTGCAGGACACGCTGCCCGACAAACTGTCTGTGTGCTACTTCGTCAACTCTGGGTATGTCTGCACGCTCACACTCAAGAAGCAAACCCCTTTCTATTTTTGGGTGTTGGTAAGGCACTGTTCAGGTAAAAAAGGATGTCGTTTTGGTTATTTGATTTACAGATTATCATTTATTCATCCACAAAATGATAATTTTCCATTTAAATAATGCAACATGTGTTACCATGAATTATATTAAGAAAAATAGTTTTGCTTGTATGCCTCTACGGTAAACAAAGAGGGAAATACAGATACCATTTTTGCTAACACCCCTCATTAACCTGACCAGTCTGGCGTGGTTACTCATTTACACTCGATGCAGTTCTGCTGTGTGAACAGGAATTATCTGGCCAAAGGTAATAATGTTGTAGATAATGATCATTATACACTCAATGCCAAGGGAGTATGTATCAGTCACAGGGAAAAGGGTGTGACGAGGGAAGTTATAAAAGGACTAAACGACCGTGCAGCAGTTCAGAAGTGCACACTGAAGACAAGAGCTGAATAATCAATCAGTTGATCAACAAACAGAATAATTGTTTAATGCAAAAATGTTTCTTTTATCCTCTCACTTATGGAGATCTCCTGCTTTTCTCTTTTTTATATATCATTTAAAAGTGAATATCTTTGTGGTTTTTGACTGACAAAGCCAAATATTTGTACACTTTGGACTTGCATGCATTGGCTTGGGATGCACATTTTACACAACACATGTATTGATTAATATAGAAAGATATTGGCAGATTAATATATACAAATACATCTCAAGGAAAATACCCCATGGGCACCTTACCGTACAGCAACATTACAGATAATATTGCCCTCTGTGGCACCAGCGTGACCCTCTCTTGTTTCAACAGGACGATCCCATGTGGGTGTGATGTGTGTGTGTGTCTTCATGTGCAAAACTATTGCTTTTGTAATCTGTTGTTTTGCCATTTCAACATACAACCTGTTATAGGTTTGCCAATGTGCTTGAGGGTGATTTTGCAATGTATGACATGTACTAATAAAATAAATCACAGGTATAGGACAATGAGATGATTATTATTTTACTCATCAAGTAGAGCAGCTTTAGGCAAAAGCACTGAATGAAAAAAAAACAATTATGTGATGTTAATGAAAACAAGATGTTCTGTATGGAACAAAGCAAAAAGCAACAGGTTTCAGGGTGGATCTTCAAACTTAGACTTTAAACGTTAATAAGTAGGTGTCATCTCATATGACATAATAATGGGAAGTGAACAACCTGTGAATGACGTGCTGGTGACATGTGTGGCTGCGGCTGTGTGTTTTGTGGTGACTGAGTAACTCTTAGTAACCCTTTCCTCTGTGAACTGCAGCTCGGAAGCCAACGACCTGGCCCTGCGACTCGCATGGCAGTACACGGGCCACAAAGATATCATCACGCTGGATAAGTAAGTGTCTCATCCTTCAAGAACTCCTGGCGCATTGCCAGAAGAGCAAAGTGAAAAGTCGGCAGGAGATAATGAGTGGTGGAAGTCTTTTTATTCAGCGTTTTATTTATGACTATTTTGGGTAAAACCGACTATGTGTGCTTTGTTTACAGCGCGTATCACGGCCACGTCTCGTCGCTCATCGACATCAGTCCGTACAAGTTCCGCCACGCGTCAGACGCTGAGCTCAATCAATCTGTCCATGTGGTGAGTGCTTTCCCTGCCTGCCTGCACCCTGTTAAAACCAAATCACTCTCAAACACTCCTGGGCTTCGGCAGACTACTGAGTATTCACTGGGATACAGAAAAGAAGAGACAGAAGTATTGTTTTCCGCAAATTCAGTGGTGCAAGATGTTACTAAAAGTGCCTTTGGAAGTGAGTCACTGAAAACACAGGTGAAAGAGAAAAGGCAAAACAGCTGTAAAACACTTTTAGTGGAAATCCCTAAATACCTGTTCAGTCACAGGATCCCGACCTGAGGAGAGACTAGGAATAAGGCTGAACAGGATTTTAATGTTCTTGACACCACCAAAAATAGTCAGCCCCAGCCCGGATTCCTTTGCTACTTTTCCAGCTCCTTACTTGAATTGTAAACAACTCATAGTTGCGCAATTTCTTTTTATTAAAGTAATCGTGTGATGTTTGTGAGAATACATTCTGTTTTGCTATTAGGGAGTTTGATTGATCAACTCCAAGCAAAGCCTTGATTTCAACATTTCAACGGCCACTTTAACTGTTGAGTCTTAAACTGGTGTTGAATTAGACTTGACACAGTGTGTTATGAGTATAAAGAAAGCAGAAGGAGTCATATTTTGATATTTCACAATGTATAATGTAATATATAATATATGCTATTAATATACACCTAGAGTCCTGACTCCATTGTGTCGTACACTCTGTTCCTTGGTGTAGTTCGATAATGCGACATGTGCAGCTCTAGTGTTACAAGGTGTTCTAAGACCTGTTTCTCCACCATGCATATTTTATTCATGATCACAGACACGAAGGACTCAAGCTCTGGTAAATGCCTTCATTCATCAACATTTCCCACGGCCCAAAGTGAAATGCAAACATATTTTTGCTCAGAGATTTACTTGGCAGCTTCATGCCTGTTTATCCCATTATGCTCACATAAATCTTCACATGAACACGAGCCCGGATGGATAGAGTATAGCCACATGTTTCAACATATGTGGAACAAATATTGAAACCTGCGCAATAGAACGGCGAGAAGACATTCTGTACACCACAAACTACATTTCCCTAGACTATTAGGAGAGGATAAACTACGTTATTTTAGCTGGATTACAATGGGAGTATTCAAATCTAAATTGGCCTACATCTAATTTAGTAAAAACACTATATGAGAAGAAACGTCCCAATTTCACGTTTTAAAGTATATTACTACAAAATCATCTGTACAATCATAAAAGTATCCTCATAGTATACAGTTTTGGTTGTTCGTTTTTCTTAACTTAATGTACTTAAAGGTGGGGTAGGTCATTTTGGAGAAACCAGCTCGAGTGCGCTAGAATTTGAAAATACACAGCCGGAAAAAATCTGCCACTTCCTTACAGAGCCCCTCCTCCAACACACACGAACGCGCACATGACCAATGAGGGCACGAGATAAGTTTGTGCACAGATGGAAGGCTGACAGGCAGGTAGGCTATCCAGTTATTTTAGCCGGGCCGGCTAAAATGATTGGTCGTGCTTTTTACAGTATTACGGCTTCCACAGATGACATTTCTTTATGGATTTTTTGTCAAAGATATTCATTGCTATCGGGATGTTAAGAGCATTCCATGGAATATAACAAAAAGTGTATCTCGAGCCGGTTTCTCAAACTTACCTAGCCCACCTTTAAGGGTCTGTTAACAGGAAACTATCTTGATATATGTTAGTATATCATACTATGACTATGAAAAGTGATATAACATTTGAAAATGTAACAGAAAGAAGTTTGTTTCTCGTCACTGTTCTCCAAAAAGTTGTTTATATTCATTTATTTTTTACTCTAACAACACATTTTAAGCAAATCTATCATGAGTATTGACATGTTCATGCTGTTTTTCACAGGCTCCCAGCCCAGATGTGTACAGAGGCAAATACAGAGCGGACCACCATGACCCTGCCACTGCATACGCAGACGAAGTCAAAGATATTATTCACGGCGTGCATGGGAAAGGAGGCAAGGTACAGTGTGTGTTACAAGAAGTGACAGTTGAAACAATAACCTGAGAAATGTTTCAACTGCACATATTAACTGTTTTATTGCTATAATTGTACTCTTTTGTTCAAGGAAATGGCCCTGAATAACAAAAAAGTATTTTGCAATGTTATGAAAATGGTATGTTAACCTGTTTATGTGTATTGAGGAGATACAAAGATACATAAAATGAAGACTGTGATAGTATAAAGTCCTGTAACATATCAAATAGTTTTTTTAGGAGGACTTAAATCAAAGCAACATCAAACAAGTTAAGTGTTGAGCTTTGATCTATGAGTTAGGATTTACTTTTGATTCATACATACTCATTAGATTTTCCACCTTTTTTTTTCCTCCTCTTTCACCTTATCTCCCAATTCTTAGGGTCAAATCCAAGTTCATGAGAGCATGTAGGAAACTCTTATTGTCCCAGCTTGTTGGTCCTTAATCCTAAATTGAAAAAGCTCGACTCAGCCCGGCTTCCAGAGGCCAGAGGGACGGGATAATGCAGAATGGCTTTAGCAGTTTCTAAAGGATGTTTGTCCAGATATGCATCTCCAGGAGGAAAAACACAACAACAACAAAAGGAGTACAATAACTTTTTATTACAGTGTGAAACCCACATGTAAAAAAGCACAAATGGATTTTGCATAACTCCGCAGTGACCTACAGTAACATGATGTCTATGTCTCTCTCTTGTTTTTGCACTGAAACTGCACAGTGATGAAAGAGTGAGATCTGCAGGTCAAAGATGCCGGAGCTCCGCCTCTTCTCCCCCTTTATCTGGCTTTAGATTGTTGGACCTGATGTGTTTTCTTCTGTGCAGATTGCCGCTTTTATTGCTGAGTCACTGCAGAGTTGTGGCGGGCAGGTCATTCCCCCCCCGGGCTACTTCCAGCAAGTGGCAGAGTATGTAATGAGTTCATGCTCTCTTTTTTTTTCTGTGTTCAGAATCATCCCACAAACACAAAGCTTAGGCATTCTGAACATGTTTAATATACTTTGCACACTGCAGAATATGCTGGAAGCAATGAACAAGAGCAGGCTCACATTTCCTAGCAGCAGAATTGTTGATTTATGTTTGAGTGATAGAACATACCTGAGATAGTCCTGGAGGAAAAACCTGTCCTGTGTGTTGCTGCATATGCGTGTGTGTGTGTGAGAGTAATTTAAGAGAGTCAATGCCTACACTCGTGGATCTTCCTGCCCCTTTGCAGACATGTGCGAAAGGCCGGGGGCATTTTCATCGCCGATGAAGTGCAGGTGGGATTCGGGCGTGTCGGCAGCCACTTCTGGGCCTTCCAGCTGCAGGGAGAGGACTTTGTGCCAGACATTGTCACCATGGGGAAGCCGATCGGGAACGGACACCCCATGTCCTGCGTGGTCACAACCAGAGAGGTGGCCGAGGCCTTCATGTCCTCCGGGATGGAGTACTTCAATACAGTAAGAGCATTACGCAGAATAATAAAGAATTGAGAAAGTAATATCATAAAAAATGCATTTTCTTTCATGCCACCCTTTTTAAAAAATGGTCAGTTATTATATTATGTTGTATTTTGTCAAACAATATTATACTTTGATTATGCATTAGGTCTATAAAATATCATAAAATAGTAATAAATGTCCATGTGATGTCTTTAAATGTGTTTTTCTTTCAGTTAAAACCCTAAAAATATACTTTTAATGTGATATAAACTGAGAAAAGACAAAAAGGGCATTTTGCAGAGAACACATTACATGATCTCTGCTTTTTATTCTCCAACTTCTTCTAGGAATGAGCCCGAGTTATCCTTGACATGCACACATCTGTTTTCCACATTATGGGAAAATTCATTCCGTCCCAGACAGTTTTTTTCTTTTCATTGAAGGCCTCACATTACAGTTACTTCCTGTGAAAGGAGAAGAGTTTAGACAGTAACAGAACAATATGTGTCAGTATCAATGTATTCAGTCGCATACTATAAAAATGAACAAAAACAATGACAGTCCCTATCTTTTCTGTATACTAAAGAAAGTTGAGTTTGATGTGTTTAACATAAACAAAAACACAATGCTATATCTGTGGCACTGTAAGTCAGTTATATATTTGTATTTAATGCATCACATTGTCCTCTGGTCCTGTCCTCAGTATACAGGACTGATTCAAGTTATGTTGAATGTAACCTCTGTGTAAAATGTCCTCTGTGTCTCTGGGTTTTGCATTTCTCAGTTTGGCGGTAACCCAGTGTCGTGTGCCATCGGCATGGCGGTCCTGGACGTGATAGAGAAAGAGGATCTGCAGGGGAACGCCCTGCGAGTGGGCCGACACCTGACCCGTCTGCTGGAGAAGCAGAAGGAGAAACATCCACTGGTGGGAGACATCAGGTACGCTAACGCTAACACAGCACATTAGCTCTGATGATATCTGACTCAGGACACTGACTCATTATGTCTCATTACTATAATCCCTGCACCAACATTTAATTCAGTGACTCGCCAATAACACATCTCGGAATTGCCTGATCCGAATAACATTAATTTGTATCATTATCATGTTGTCATTTACAACATGATAACAATTTAAGTCAAGCTTTAAAGTAATTTATCATGCAATCATTTCAGAAAATGCTGATTTTGGGCTCTTAAATATGGAGATTTCCTGTTTTTCTCTGTTTATATATTATCATAAAGTGAATCTCTTTGGGTTTTTGACTGACAAAACCAGACTTTTGAAGACCTCACTTTGGGCTGAAAAACTGGGATGGACATTTTTCCCAGTTTTCTGAAGTTTTCTAGACCAAATGATGAATTAATAATCCTCGAAAAATAATCAGGACATTGTTAAAAAATATAACATGTTAGAAAAAAATATAACATCATGATTTTCTGTGTCAATCTTATATTAAATGTACTCATCTCTTCTCTGAGGATCTTCAAAGGTGCAGCGACACATTGTTGTTATTCTGTGAAATATTTACCGTGGACTGCCATTGTGTTCTAACAGACTTTCCCCCGTCATTAATGTAAAATAGGACATTATAAAAAAGCTGTAGATAAGTTATAATGCGTTTGAACCCTGGTCCAGAACATGTGGAGGGAGAAAAACAGGTCTAATGGCTTTCTGTTTAAGAAGATCTTTAAAAATGGAGAGGTCAGAGGCCAGGAGTTAACCAGTGTTTCCCGTCCTGCAGGGGGCGTGGCCTCTTCTCGGGGGTGGAGCTTGTGAAGGACCGGTTGAAGCTTACGCCGGCTACAGCCGAGGCCCAGGAGGTCATTTACAGGTAAGAGTGAAGCGTGAGAACTCAGATAGTGTCAGCCAGAAGGAAACATATTATGATGATCCCTACGAGGGAAATTTGGTCACATTCTAAAATAAAATAATACAAAGAGAAATTCTAATAAAAATCTAAAGTATGTAACTAATACAATATCTCAAAACCATATTAAAGGGTTTTGAATCCATCAATCTTAAAATAATGCCATGGTGTTAGAATTTCTTAAATATATATTCCAGACGTTTTGAAATAAAAAAAAATGAAATAATAAAGAAGAATAAGTAATGCTCACATTAACCACAGGCGGACCTAGATGGCATACATTTGGTCATTCAAATAGTCTTATATAGTTTTAAATATAAGCTGTAGGAACCCTGAAAACAATGGATAACTACAAATAAAGACAATGGGGTCTTTGATTAAGCTGCATGAATAGTCAAACATAATCAAATGAGTTGCAATGTACAGTTTAATGCAGTATAACTAGCTTATTAATTAACCCGTCTCTGCATTATGTTTAACTTAAAAACAGGCCATATCCCAAACACAAAGTTCCACCATAAATTGTGACAGCTTAGGTACATTTTGAAGAACTCGTATACTGCTTATCAATTTATTGAGGGATAATAAAACTGCATTCTGTGCACGCTTTTCCTGCTATGAGTAGTCAGACAGTCTGCTTAGTTTAAATGGATACAGGGTGAAGAATAATTCATATTTCCCCGCCAGGCTGAAGGAACAGTACATCCTGCTCAGTGCCGACGGACCTCATCGCAACGTGCTCAAATTCAAGCCCCCCATGTGCTTCAGTACGGAGGACGCTGACATGGTGGTGGAGAAAATCGACCAAATCCTCACCGGTATGTCACTGTGACTTCTCTGTGGTGTCGTCTCTCTGACCCCTGCATTATTTAGAAGGATCATGTTGTGTGTGAACAAGCTCTCAAACGTGTGTCTGTGTTTCCAGAGCTGGAAGAAGCACTGGGCATGAAGTTGCACAACACATCCAACGTGGAGAATGAAAGCATTAAAAGAAAGGTAAGTGCACCTATGCGTCTTATATATTGTATCCCCTCCCGAGCATACTCAATAAACCCAGATGAAATAATATCACTTGCAGATAGAAGACAAATACAATCTACATTTTCTTGATTCTTCCAACCTCATTGATACCAATTCATGTCTTTGTGGTTTTATCTCAAGCTGCCGACCGATGAACATGGACACCAGTGTCACAGTGGGTTAGCTCACAGCAGAGTGAGCACTCAAGGAGTTCCTCAACGCACCAAACGCCTCAGGACATAAAGCTGCCTCACTCAGGGCTTTACCTTTTATACAGTTAAAGCTGACAATATAAAAATGGGAGACAACCAAGTGCCTCATATATAACCTAATGACGAATGTTTTTACATGAATACTAATAATAATAATAAGCTGTATATTTATTCGTATAGTATCTTCTCAGGGTTTTTATTTTAATTCCGCCTAGGAATCTAGTCAGATTTTCAGCATTAAACATGTCTACTATTGTGGCTTTACCAAAAATATTTTAACATGCTTTTTAAATGTTACTCTTTGTTTTAACTTCAGCTAAAATTAACTTGACCGTGATTTTCAAATAATTATTATGTCAGTAAACAAAGTTATTATGTCAAGACCTTATTTAATTCTTTTTTTTTTTACAAATTATGAAAATGACTCACTGTATTTGGCAGTGTGCACTATCTGTATGGACACATTTTGTGTTGCTCGATCTTTGTTGAATAAAGTCATGTGTGTATGTGATACCTTGTTGTTCATGGTTGGGCATCTCTGACCCGTAACCTCTGCTTACCAGGAGGTTGGGCTTTAATAAACTAGCTGAACTGAGCAGTCAGCATCATGATCTCCCCTCCCCCCTACACTCCGTCCAAGCAAACAAACATGGACGCTGTTTGACAAGTCTGCAATAATTGACCAATGTCCCTGAGTTCCTCTAACTGACAGACCGGAGAAAAATTCCCAAAAGTTTCTTACTTAGATGTTGGAGAAGAGAGGCCCTCAGGGTGCCCAGAGAAAAATAAATGATATACTCAGAGATGAATCATTGAGACTCAAATTGACTTGAGGCAATGTTTTCGTGAATTGCAGCTTGACTTGACAAAATAAATTATTTGAACCTGGAAGTAAAAGACTTGAGGCATGATACCTTGAAAGTCAGTGTTAATTGTACGTTTTCAGTTCAAATATGAACAAATTACTGGGTACTGGCCTGAGACTTGTTCCAAATGACTTGGATCACATGTCTGGATATAGTACGTCTATGTTTTTTTATGAAATAAGTTCTCCAAGGCTTTGGTTGCCGCTCGTAGGTCATTTTTGTCAATTTTTTTTATAGTCCATTAGTCATTTTTGTATTGACGAGTTGATCATTTTCATGTTAAGTGACCTACAGTTAGGACCCCATCTCTGGTAAAAGTGGTTCTTTTGTATCATTCTTTTATGGAGAAACTTAGATTTATAGATCAGTCGATTAAACTAACACATTTGTCTGAGGTGGGAGAAGTACTCGTTTATAATGATTGATCATTAAAGTGTTATCAAAGCTGGTCAAGGTGCAGCTAGTTTTAATGACTTTGTAAACTGCAGGGTAGCTTGTGAATTTACTCCAGGTGGAACTAAAGTCTGATTTAAGTGTTGATTATATAACTAAAGGGATTAAATGCATGTAGTGTATAAAGTACACCATTTACCTCTGAATTGTAGCAGAGGAAAAGTACAAAGTAGCATAACATAGAAATACTCAAGTACAAGTATATCAAAATTGTACTTAAGTACAGTACTTGAGATAATATACATAGTTACTTCCCACCTCTGCTAATTGTTTGTTGACAAATATGTATGGCTGTTCTTTGACTTTTTCTGGGCTCTCTGGAGGTTGTCAGACAGGTGACCCACTCCACACATACTGTGTACTGCAGAGGAAGTGCCTTTAAGTAACCAAGCACAAGTGTCAAGCCAAAGCCAAAAAGACCCAAAACATTTAATTGCATTTATAATTGTGTGTCTCTGAGTTTGACTTTTTGTCACTAAAGGTTTGTATTAGAAAAGATCAAATGAAAAAAATTCAAGAGCACAAAGCAACAATTATGCAGTAGGCTGACAGTGAACCTGAAGAAAAAGAGGTCATTGAGTTGAGGTCATTGAGCAGAATGAACTCCTCTGATGTCTGGCGGTGCAGCACTTGAAGTAGACTGCATTCCTGATCATTATGCTATAGTTCCTGCTTTATAATTACCTGTAAATATTGTGTTGACCTATTTTATTTTACTTCCTGATTGCATATGGCATTGTTTTACCTTGTTTTGCCATATATTGTATCTGTGTAGCATTCAATGTAAAGTATTTGGCCTTGGTAAACCACAGCGGTGAACTGCATTTCCTATGAGCACACGCTCCATTCAATTTCATGAGAAGCTCCGGGTTTTCTTTTGGTCAAACATCTGGTTTAATGAGGCTCTAGTGACCACAATATTTTCTTTACTTTTCAATTCTTAAATTAGACTTAAATGAAGCCCAGAAACAGAGAAAGCTAACATTTAATGGAACTGGAAAATACAGGGATAATCAAACGCATTTATGTCATAAGGAATAATGAACATTATTATATGTTATGTTATATTATTTGATGTGCATGTCCACAGAGCTGTAAAATAAAGGTGAATTGTATTTCACAATGCAGAAGGTCACCCCTCCCTCTCTGAAAGGACAGGTTTAGGAGGTGCTACAAGTCAACAGATGGTGCTTTAGCAGACTCAGCATATTGCACTGTGTGAAATGGGGTGTGCTGCATGCGCTGCGGAGCCAAATAGTAACAGCTCTGCAGAAGGTGACGTAGGCAGAGGTGGAATAAAGCATCTAGATGCCTTACTGCAATAAAAGTACTACAAATACCATACTACAAGTCCTACATTCAAAATCTTAGTATAATCAGTCGAATGTACTTAAAGTAAAAGTATTTATTGTTTGTGCAGTAAAATGCTCCCCGTCAGTGTTCAATATATGTGATGTCTCCCGCTAAATAATACTGATGCATTCATGTGTATGATGCATTTCACTTCTGTGGATGTTTCAAATTCCTTTTACATATTTTTGATAAATGTAAACTGTAGCATGTATCATAATGTATAAGATCATATGTTTGTAGCTACGTATCTCTAAGACAACCACATTTCATGTGTTTCTCAGAAAAACAGCCCTTTTTCAGCTTGGTGACATTTTGCATTTCCCAGCTGATACAAGAGGCTTTGTATACATAGTTTATCAAGTTATGAAGTAGGACATCTGGAGATAATTGGTGTTCAATAGACAGAAATTGTACTGTAATCTGAACAGTAACTAAGTATAAAGTAGAATTAAATGGAAATACAATACTTGAGTATCAGCAACTGCATTTCTTTTTCTCCTTGTTCTGGCATTCTGTTAAACCCTTCAATCATTTTCTCTCAAGATGGATAATCATGTCAAAAGGCTCATGTGAGGTCTGTAGATCTATGACGCCACCTACTGGAGGACAAACTACAATGCTTGTGTGGCTCAAATCTTAATAGAGGATATGCTATTTCCTGTCTTATATATTGACCTTTTCTCAGTGTAGCTCTTGATATGTACACATTTAATGTTTCTATTTTATTAAATGTACCTTACTCTTATAGCTGTTCTATTAGGCACTAGTGTTAGAATGAATACTTATAAGATAAAAAGATAAGATGTACTTTATATATTTATATTTTATTATAACTTTTGTATTAATTCATTTTTGGATTTGTGTTAAGCAATCTCTTATTTAGGGCAATAGCTGGCACAAGTCTTGCCTGGCCTTCAGGGTGAGTAAAGTTCTATCTTTTGTTTCGTGTTTGTGATGGTGTGTAAATGACAGCCTCAAGGAGCTCTGAAAAGATGTTTTATTTCACACCCTTGTACAAAAAATGCAACTGTTACAAGTTCAAGGCTTTTTCAACTTGTTCTTTACAAAACGAAAAACTTAATCATTCAGACTTCCCTCTAATTTCCAGATCAGTGGCTCCATGCCAACAGTGTTCAGTAACTTTCTTCTCTCCAGTGGCAAACAGAAACGTTCCCTGGCACTTGTAGCTTCTTTTAGGAAGAAGTTTAACTACATTAAATGAATACATGACAACATTTTTCTTAATAATGTGACTTTAACATGGAAGTACTGTCCTGAATTCGATTTTTGGGGAAAAAGTGGAGAAAAGGAGAGGAAAGAAAGTCGCTAAACAGCAATGAGACAGAGCCAGTGCAGACAGGTCAGTGCTTTCAGTCCTTAATGGTTGTTGATTATATCAAATGTTGCGTTTATCCATCATTTCAGTTGGATTTGATGTCTTCTGTCCATCCAAATCAAGGTCTCTTCTTGTCTTTAGCCCATGAGGTATCCTCTGAAAAGACAAAATATTAAATGGTTAAGACACTTTCACACAAATCAGAGTAGTAGTCTTGCAGGCTTCTTAGACACAGATCTTTATTTTTCACGAGACACAAGGTTAGACTTACGGCAGCTTCATGCGCATGAACACCCTGGCCATGAAGAAGCTGAGCAGAACGCTGACAAACCCGATGAAGAGCAACAGGAAGCGGTTGAGTTTGGGAATGTTTGGTGCGTTGGAGCGGTCCAGGATTATAAAGCCCATGCCCCCCATCGTGAAGAGGAAACTGGAAGCCAGTCCTTCCATGATGTACTGGCCATTTACTCTGAAAAACAAATGTGCTTACATTAGCTATGCATTCATCAACTTTACCCTCTGGCTCCTTGCTTTGGCTGCAGCTTGTTGAGATGCTCAAAAGGTTTTTGACATACCTGTATGCCAAGAAAGCCACTGGCCTCTGGTGTCCATGCTCATCAGTCATTGAACCCACACTCGGTGGCTCTACAATAACATCGTAGATGATGCCTATAATATGGGAGGGAGCGGAAAATTAATCAGAACAATAAATAACTGAACATTATTAAATATAGGTGTTAAAACTCAAACTGCAAGCTGGTCATGTTAAAGCACAGAAATACAGAAATTAATACATTTTGGGATATAAATACATGGGTGGAAATGTAAAGGTAAAATATAACTTTCCATGAATAAATACCTTTAAACTAAGAAGATCAAAAAGTGTAGAAATAATAAATGGGAAAATGAAATAGGAAAGTAAAAGAAATAGGGGAATGAATACAAAAGTAAATGATGACGAGGTAAACAAACAAACCAATTGACTGAATGTCTAAATTGTTGTACATTTAATGGAATTGTTATTTACTTTGTCATTTATGTCGGCAAATGCTGTAATATGATTTATACTTCCACTATTGGCCTATTGCAGGATAATAACATCCCTCTGTTAGCTTAGCTGCCAAGTTAGCCTCTCATCCATTATGTTAACTGCGTTGACGCTAAAAGGCTCATTTACACAAGCAACCAGGGCCTAATATGTCTGTCATTATTTCTACCGAACATGAATGAGTTTTAATTGTTCAGTAATGCTGAAACAATGCAGATTTAAAGCTAGCATACTAGCATTAGGTTAGCTTAGCAGATCCATTTACCTCCAGTGATGAGAAAGTAGGACACGATAACGGCCGCGTACACAGTCATTGCAGACGGCATGTGCAGCCACGACGGTTTCTTCAGTTTAACATTTGGGCACTCCAGCACAGAAAACGGCATACTGTATAAACTCTCCATTTTAGAGAAGAAACTTAACTAAAACTATCACTGCTGCTGGCCGAGGTCCGTCCGCTCTGCGCAGACACTATGTTGACGTGTCCCGGAAGTACTTTTTTTTCTTCCAACACATCATTACTACAGAGCGTTTAGATACAAAATATTTTATTTGGCGATTTAGTGTGAAATACAGAAATGTTTTCATAACAATTATAATAACCTTGTGTTAAATTGCAGTAAATTGTTTAATTTATTTAATTTTGACCCACACAACAAAGGTTCTGCGTGACGCACATTTAAAGAGACAGTAACGTTAATGTAATGTTCGGATATGTTGTACTACTCAAACATAACGATTATATATGCGTGTCCATCTCCGTATTCTTATAATACATCCATGGTCCATCCGCATTGTTTTTTAGTTGGCTGTTCAATAATTTTAGGTAGAATTTATTATAATTTTTGTGATCAATTCAAAAGTGGGACGTTCGATTAATGAAGTGCCCTCAGTTGATTTGTGATAGTTCTTTGAACACCTTAGGTATTTTCTAGTCTTTGATGAATTCCCCCTAATCGTTTTTTAAGAATGTAGTTCACATGTATCAGGGTGCCTGGTCGTAATACATTCCTGTTTTCCACAACCCAGCTGACTCAGGTAAAACCAAATTGTTTTAACTTAATCCCCAAATTATAATAGGGCTGTCGAATAATCCAGAGTCCATTGCATTTGACATTCTTATGTAATGCTTCCCAATAAATATATAACTGCTAATATGGTTAATAGTGTCCTTTAAAATTAGTCAATATATTTCCAAAACCATGTAGAAATGTAAAAAAACACCATGTGCTACTGCGAAGAACACTCAAAGTTCTGTTTTCACGTAAACAAATTCTGGCAACCCCTTCAAATCATTGCCTATATTTAAAAAAATACTGCTTGTTTGTGGGAAACTGAATATATATATCTTTAGTTTATCCCTCTTGCCACAAGTAACTTTTCTTTACTCATGAGCCACCTATCCCAAGTCTAATCAGAGATTTGTCTTTCTTTCCAAAATCCCACTTTATATTTAATCCCTTTGCACCTGTATAGGCTATATTGAAACATTAAGTAAAGTAGGCATTGTTGACTATTTTGTCGCCAGTCATAGAGACAACCCTCTAAAACGGATTCTAGACCATATTGTTTTTTGGCTGAATGTGAAACCTATTGTAAAAGGATAAAAGGTCTCCAAATGATAGGTTTAACATGGGTTCAACATATCTGCAATGAACCCCAATGTATCAAATACCAAGCTTTAACTTTTCAATTAAGTACACCAAGACATTGCAAATCACAGAAGAAAGTTGTATTTGTTTGTCATTTTTTATTGTGGCAGTACAAATACACATTTTACTTAGTAGATTTCTGGCTCTGTGCCTGTGCCTTGAGCACCTTGACAACGATCTTCTGCTCCTCAATCAGGAAAGCACGCTTGATCCTGAGAAGAGTAAAAAAAAAAGACAAATTAGACATTTCAAAATGTTTTTAAATTATGAAATATCTTGACTTTTCAAAGCAAACACTAGCATTATTCTTCTCTTACCTGTCACGCACACACTTGGCGCACATGGAGCCTCCGTAGGCCCTGCTGACGTGCTTCTTGGTCTTGGACAGCCTCATCAGAACCTGAGGTCTAACAGCCCGGACCTAAAACAGAGAGAACCACAATGAGACCAAAGCAATGTCTAGGACGAGGGTATGAATTATCTACAAACATGTTCACAACTTCATTCAAAATGTAGACTGCATGCTTGAAAACTACCAATTCTGATTTAAAATCCTAGATTAACCCCAGTGCTTTACTAATTAAGAAAAATATGCTTATTTTGTGCTCTTTTGCTTACAGGTGTTGAATATTACATAACAACTTCTGATTTGGGGATGGACCTTCATTTCCTATCCTTCACAACAAGCACAAAAAGATATCATCCAACTGAGGTAAGAGCCATCTCACAATCAACGGAACTAATCAGGTCTCCACCAATTTGAAGTGTTAGTTTGAGAGACCCCTCTTAATGCAATTAAGAATGATTTTAGGGGTTAAAGTGTATTACATGTATAAACGTGCTATGCTGTATTTATAAAAATCCTCCATCACACTTACAAAATGAACCATCAGTTTTCATTAGACAACAATTGTTCAACTGGACCTCAAAGTGCCACATCTGAATATATACAATTTCTACATTGTTTGCCAGTAATGCCGCGACACCGGCTGTTGTATAACCACTTTTTAAGTCACAAAAAAAGCAGTTCACTTGATTCAAAGCAGATCATTTTCTAACATGACAGATGTATTACTCCTGAATTTAACTTTTAAGATGCAAATAAGACAAGAGAAGCAACGGGCAAAAAAGCTTCTTTGGCAGCTTGTATCTGTAATGCAGTTTAGGTTTCAAAGGTGATTGCCATATACTTACATGGACACCACATTAACATCTGTACTTAGCATGTTTACCACATGACAACCAATTGTGACCAATCACAATAAGACATTGAGCTGCAATTGAGTATCAGACCAGTCCAATGAGGGCCATACAGACAACATATGCATGTACCACTTTAAAATCAGGAGATTTGGCGCCCACAGCCAGCAAATATACTTCAAAAAATACACCGAGTTCACTTACTCCACGCAGTCTTCCTGGGCAGATGCCACATGCCGACTTGGGGGCTTTGCCGACCTTCTTTGTGTACAGGTACACGATACGGTTTCCGGGCGTCCGGGACCTGCAAACAGCATGGGAGCAGTGATAAATAAAGTGCAGCTAGCTGATAGCATGCAAGCCATAACTGAAGATGCAAACAGTGTTGTGCTGGAAAGGTCACTTACAGTCTGGTTTTGTTGGAGGCGGTGTTGTAGGACAACCTACGACGGTAAGTCAGGCGCTGCACCATGTTGAAGCTAAAAACAGAAACAAAATTGTATTAGTTTAGAAAAGCACAATGCTAACATGCTATCTCTGCTAGTCGTACTGAAACTGTTCAATAGGTTTGTGACACCGGTTTTCATGGATTTAAGACTAGATAACAGTGTAATATACTTCTTTAGTTTATTATTTTAGTGGTTAATTTAATCCGGTATGCAAACAAATGCTCAGGGTAGCTATTAGCTACAGCGAGCCCACATTCACTCTACAGATAGCGGCCTCAGAGACCAAGTAACGGCATCATCAACATATCTCACAGAAACCACTTTTTCATATAATCGTCACATCATTAGATCCAAATACTTGTTCTTATTATTATATTGACTACAAATCAACCACATTTGCTTTTTAAATGTAGGATTAGAGTAGATTATAAAATAAAAATGTTCCAGAGAAAAGCAGGGGGACGCCATACCTGCTGTCGCCGATACCGGAAGAGGAAGGAGCGAGGCGAGGACTTCCAGTTTAAAGTTCCTCCATGCAGCTATTTCAAGTCTGCTGCATGTCATACTGCCCCCTGCTGGTGGCTCGTCTGTACTACACCAGCAAGCTACGCGAAGTATGAAACTTTATAGATGTTGTAATAACACACCTGAACAACTGTTAATGGAATTCTGAATTACATTAGCAAGTAGCTCATTTAATTTGAAAATGTAATATTCCCTTTGTTACAGCCCCCTCTTTATTATATACAATACATTGAATACTTTTTGAATAGAAACAATATGTATAATATTTAAAAATGTAATCAAATAAAATTAAAGTCAATATAGTTTAAATAACATACACTTTACATTTGAAGTTAGTGAACTATTCATTACAATTGAGCACATTTTTTAAAACTTTAAACTCTGAACAATATTTCAGGGATTTTCAAAATATGCAACATTTATTATAAAACCATTTATAAGTGGGAGCAGTTATCAAATGTTTGGAAAGAGAACTGTTAAATTATAGAAAAATTACACCATCCACTCCAAAGTCACTCTTGTAAAAAATGTTTTAATACAATAAATTCTAGTACATTTTTCCGTGAATGTGGTCCCAGCAGGATAAGCATAGGTGTCACCAATATGAAGGCCACCTTCCATTACTGGCCTGCATGGCTCACAGGCACACCTAACTGGAGCCTAATTAAGGTGATGAGTTGCACCTGGGTTCAAGTTTATTCTTCCAAAATCTCATTGGGGATTTCCCACAACCAAGGAACAATGTACAGTGACTGCAAACCAAAAGTGGTGCATTTTATTTTCACTGTAAATTCAATGCATGGAATGTCCAGTAGGTGGCAGAGGTGGTATGCTCGGTGAAGTATACTAGGTGCTAGGTCTTATATACATCCATGGGTGAAGACAGCTAAGGGTGGAAACGGTAAATCGGTCCCTCAGACTTTACACATAACCACGTTTTTTTTAACAAACACATTTATGTATAAACCCATGCTAATTATTTGGTATTTTATTCTTTTATACAATGATTATTAAACTAGGAGCCCACTATGAATTATGACGAGTGATATAAAGAAAAGGGAGATTTCTAAACGGCGCTGCAGCTGCCCTAAGTAATAATAGATTATTCTTTGATGGTCAAAGGTTGGCAAATGCATCAGATAGAGAAATAAAATATATTACGTTTTCGGTTCATCAAAGATTAAAACCCATTACTTTTTGTGTTAAATGTTCTAGTCTTAAACATTTACATTTACAAAAAACGAACACACATTTTCTTCAATATCTCAACTAATTAAGGCTATGTGTTTTAGTTTTTTTACCAAATGCTGAGGATAAGTCATCTATACAAGTGTCAGAATTGTTACAATTTTAACTGATTTGTTTTTAAACTGTCCAATTGATTAGCCCTTTCATGAAGTCCTCTTTAAAATGTGTTTAACATATCTTTGCAAAGCAAGAAGTGGATACCGTGCACACTTGCAACCAATATTCAGGTATAAAAATCTGCGGCACACCGTCTCTCTAAAAAAAGGTTAAAAAGAAGGAAGAAAAGTTCAAAATGGCTCCCAGTCAAAGTGGTGCTGTGTCACAAACAGACATTTGCAAAGCTCAGCCAACAGATGGTGAGCGTGCCATTTTTTTTAATGAAGCATTTGGCAAAGGTAAAGTTCAGTGACAACACACGGCTCTGTGCAGCGTGTTGGCA